CAGCTTTTAGGAGCTATAGGCCCTGCAGGCCTACAGCTTTTTCTGCTCAGTGGCAAACACTGCACGGGCCCCCAGCCTAAAAGGCATAAAATAATCAAAAATCTGAAGGGCAAATAGCATTTTAGAGCGTCTAGATTTAAAAATTAAAATTAAAATTAAAATACTAGACCCCCCTTCACACTTCCTACCTACGGCACTCGTGCCGTGCGTCTGCGGCATGCAACATGAACAGCGCATGCTCAACAACTGCTCGGACGAATAGCGCATACGAACAGGTGTTCGATGCTCGGACGAATATCCACGTCGAATAATCAATATAGTATTACTTTAGCCTAGGTGTGTCCACAACTTAGAGACCAAGTTTTTGTTATAGAAACGCTAAATATGTAATCACTCTTACCGTAGAGTCACATCACACTAACTTGACTAAGGCTCAATAAGTCACTTGACATTTGCACCGGTAGCGGTACACATTTCACACACAATCGTCGTTTGCACACTGTACGGTAAATGCGCGGTACCCTCCGAAGACGTTCTTATAGTTATATAGTACTACTTTAGCCTAGGTGTGTCCACAGTTTAGAGACCAAGTTTTTGTTATGGAAATGCTAAATATGTAATAACTCTTTCCATGGCATAGAGTCAGACCACACTACTAGTACTATGGGAGATAGTGATGATGACTACGATCGTCGGCGGCGCGACAAATTCCGTCGAGAGAGAAGTGATTACGGACGTGAAGATCGCAGGTAGGAAACAACAGGAATAAAAAAAAATAATAGGCAGTAAAAGGAACCCATGATCCACACTGAGTAGTAGTAACCTGTTAGGATTAAGCATTTTTGTTTGCTACCCCACAAATGTGTTTTCGCATATGTGATAAACTAGGCTTGGGCCACCTGTGACTTTTTCAAATGTCTTGGTTTAGGTAATTTTCCGCGTATACGTTATGGTTACGGTCATTGTTCAATTTGGTGTGCACAGGGGTCGGGACTGGGCACGCGACAGAGGACCAAGGGACTTCAGTAATCGGGGTGGATATGTGGACAGGAGAAGAGAGAGGTTTAGTCCACCAAGGGGAGACACCAATATCAGTCCACCGCCAAAGCGTATGCGCCGTGACTGGTAAGTTAACACACGGGGTGTGGTCTGTCAAACACACCCGGTTTAATGTGCATAAATTTGCTCGCGCCACAAATTAATGTGTGCAAGTTATGGATTCTCATTTTGACAACAATTGAAACTGGAATGTGCTAAGAGTGGATGGAATTGGATATACCTGCATGGATTTTAATGCAGGGACGATGTAGGCGCCGGGCCAGTGGGAGTGGCCGGCGGAGGCTACTATGAAGGAGGAGGTGGTTACGGAAATTATCAGCACACCTGGAGTGGACAGCCAGAGTACCAACAGCGTCCGCAGAGGTAAAATTCATACCTGAATTTATTGCAATGCAGGCACTTGCTGGATTATAATTCAAGTTTTATATAAATTGAAAAGATTAGTTCTACAAGATTAGAAATGCATAAATAGCACTAATTTGCATTTATATTAGTATGTTGATTTAGCCATCTGAATGATTCATAATTCTGCCTGTAGCATGTAAGTAAATTTACACGTTTCTTATTCCTTAGTTACACATCCTGTAAAGAAATGGGAAATTTTCAAACATGGAACATATCTACTCGCATGTACCGCTGGAAATGAGTTTTTAAAATTTTACAATAAATCGAAGTAAAATGTAAATTTTGTGTAAATTTTATTTAATAATATAAATGTAATTTAAAAAGTTAATTATAATTTGTGCAATTTTGTATAAATTTAAGTGTAAAGTTGTAATTTTGTAAAGTGAGTATACTGTCGTGGAAATAATAATAACAGATTGTAAATTGGTATGTTGAGAACACGCAATTGTTGTTTCAGGGAGATGGGCGATTCGAGCCAGATTCCGCTAATGTCCTTCAAGCAGTTTGTGCTTGCACAGGAGGATGACGTGGACGATGAGATAGCTGTGCAGCGCTACAAGGACTACAAGATAGAGCACAGACGACAACAGCTGTCAGAGTTCTTTGTCGCACACAAGGACGAGGAATGGTACGTCTTGTCGTGATGGTAACGCACCGGATGTCTCGCGCGTAACGGGGGTGTTTGCGTGTATGTATTGCAGGCGATTTCGTATAACCGATCAATTTATTCGTCAACGTTTCTTTATCGGAGTATGTGAAGTGTTGCGTTGCAGAGTAGGAATGAATTTTGCTTACGTTTAGCGAAGATGATGTAAATGAATGTGAGTTCCCATAGCTTTTTACTTAATCAGAGTGGTAGCATTTGTTTCTTATCAATGTCACCTAATAGCAGGTTATGTGGTGAATAATCAAGTTTCCTCCAGCAGGTTTTCAATGAAATGTGACAAAAGTCACTTGGAGCAAATAGCATATAAATATGTATATATATATACGTATGTATTAAGAAATGCCGTCACCGTGAAAATTGATATGCACGGTACATTTGATGTGCCTGCAACGTCGAAGAATTCGTACACAGAGTTGTTTATGCACAGCCGACGCATTGTAGAAAATCAGACCTGTAACCGGAAAATACTACCAAAGTCGGTAAAACCGAAGCCTATATGTATATATTATATCTACAGCGCGAGAGTGCAGGGCTCTTTACTGCCCTTACGTTTATGCATCCATAAAATGCACAGGATCGATATAATTACTACGATGCAATGGTCGAGAAATGGATGATGATGATGATGATGACGATGGTAATATTGAAATAGGATCACACGAACGTGGTTCAGTGTCGTTGGCCGTGGATGAATCAACAGCACGGCCGCGTTTACCCGTGCTGTGTAAGTGAAAATCACTTTTATATACGATGTTCATGTGCGTGTCGTGATTTGTGCGATGTTGCACAGAGGTGGCCAAGAAGACGGCATCCCGATGGAGATCCCCATACAGGTAGTGTTTGTATGCCTCCGGCTATCCAGTTTCCTTCAATGTAACATGTTGGGGATATGGATTTGTTACGGGAGGTTGCATACCAGGGGCTGAAATGGCATGGTGATTGTAGAAGAACTTAAAAGGTCTGTGTTTGGAAGTTTTCAAACACGCTGATGGAAATTTTGATTGTGCTAGTCATTGCCAGTCTTTCAGCACTGCACGTAATCTGCACTCCCGTGTAACAGTGACGAAGATGGGGGAGGGACTCTTTGCGAAACCTTGTTTCTTTCTGTTTCTCGTACGGAAGCAGTTCGCCGTGAACGACTATGCACAAATCGGTTTATTATAGTTATATAAGATATTTGAGCGTGCTCGTTAGTTCGACTCGCACAGACATGCATTATCGTAGGGTAACTGCGGCCGGTAGAGACGGCGCCTCCGGCTAATAGGCTGTCTCGACGATGTGCCATGCAGGTTCAAGGTGAAGTACCACCCGGAGGACTCGACGCGTCGGCAGGAGGAGGTGTTCGCGGGCGTGAGGAACCGGCTGCAGGCGTTCATGTACCTGCTGGAGACAAAGTGGCTGGAAAGCATCATGCTGGACATCGACAAGCCGGACGACATTATCCGCCTGCTCGACGCAGGTGAGCCTCGACCTTTGACCCTTGCCCGACCTTTGACGCTCACCCTGACCCCAGCTTGACCTTGACCATCACCCTGACCCGAGCTCGACCTCGACCCTCACCCTGACCCCAGCTCGACCTTGACCCTCACCCTGACCCCAGCTCGACCTTGACCCCAGCTCGACCTCGACCCTCACCCTGACCCCAGCTTGACCTCGACCATCACCCTGACCTCAGCTCAACCTCGACCCTCACCCCAGAGATGCCAACCACTACGATTTATCCGTATTTTATACGAATTTCTATTCCTTTGCACCACTACGACCAGTTTGTATCAAACTACGAATTTCACTGTGATCGGAAAAAAAAAATTATTTTTAGTCTGTCAGTCTATAATACGCAGGGGAAAAAATACACGGGGCGGCAGGCGATTTCGCCCCCGAAATGCAAAAAAGAGCCCCCGAAAATATGATATCGGGGGCGACCCCAAAAGAAAAAGTCGCCCTGGAAATTGATTGTCCAGGTCGGTCCCGCGCCTTGCCGCTCTCGCTCGGCGTTGCTGCGCTGCGATGCCTAGGCCTCTGCCGTTAGCGGCCGCCTGTTCCACGGCGCGGTAGAATTCATGGTACGGTGTGACTGTCAAGTGTTAAGCATGCATGTGTGTACTACTGTACTGTATTGCATTCAATCAAGCGCGCGCCGCCGCCCGCGCGTATATATGTGTGTGCCTGTGCGCGTGCTTGCGTGTGTGCCTGCGTGCGTGCGTGCCTGTGTGTGCCGATGTGCTTGCGTGTGTGCCTGTGTGTGCATGCGTGCGTGCCTGTGCTTGCGCGTGTGCCTGCGGCCCTGCGCGCGTGCCTGCGCGCGTGCGTGCGTGCCTGTGTGTGCCTGCAGGCATGCTTGCGCCTGTGCCTGCACGTGTGCATGTGTGCGCGTGTGTGTGTGCCTGCGCGTGTGCATGTGTGCGCGAGCGTGTGTACGCGTGCGTGCGTGCCTGCGCGCGTGCGTGCGTGCGTGCGGGTGTGCCTGCGGGTGTGCCTACGTAGACCCGTAGGACCAACGACCCGTAGGATTATAATTTATAGAACGGTAATCCATGGAAAATCCTAATGAAATTCACACGTATAGCTTCCCGATTGTAGCTTTTTCGTCAATTCCCCGAAAGAGTTTTGCTGTCGCTCTCTCATTCATAGTCCAGCAATGCCAACCCTCTACATTTTAGTAGTGATTAGTACCACGCCTAAACAATCGTGCCCCCCCCCTCCCGTACAATCAATGCCACCCCTGCCAGCAGGCACGTCGTACGCAGCGTCGATGGATGTGCACAGCCATACACACGTGCCTCGCGGGCCGCTTTCTCAAATTCCCTGAGCTTCCAGGGCTCTTACGTGGGCCCTGGACCCCAGCCGCAAGAGACTTCGCGTATAAACAATCGATCCTCCTCGCTCGTACAGGCAGACACTCCACTATTTGCGCTAGCCGTAATACAATGTTTCATGTGCGTGGCAGCGTATGT